GAGGAAGGGGACGCGAGACGGCTATCGTCCACGATTTCCGGTTACGTGCTGAAACGCAATTATGATCTCTCTCTCTCTCTCTCTCTCTCTCTCTCTCTCTCTCTCTCTCTCTCTATCTCTCTTCTCTATACGATGCGTCGGACTTCGTGGGGTACAGTCGCGATTAAAGAGATCCGAAAGAGCGACTTCGCATTACGCGGTAGGTATAAGAGCGCAGCTGCGGCTTATAAACCGCGCATATATAAATGAGGGCTCGTCCTCTCCCCTCCTCCCCCCCCCCCCGCGTGGCCATAGCGGATTACGCTCGTTTTTAATTTCCCTTCGCGTTTTATCTCGCTTTCATTATTCTGCTCTCTCTCTCTCTCTCTCTTTCTCTCTCTCTCTCTCTCTCTCTCTCTCTCTCTCTCTCTCTCGTTTTACGCGTCGTATCGCATCGAAAGCGAGCGGAGCGGCGACGAGCGGTCTTCCGCGCGTCCGCGGGGGCGAAAACGCGTGGACGCGGACGCGGATGGGAACCGCGAGCGGATATAACCAACGGGACGATAATGAAGCACATAATACGCGAGTCACCGGAAAGCGGGCGCGAGTAATTAAACGCGACGCGCGGCTTAATGAAACGCAACGAATGCGAAGTCACGTATTTTTAAGGGACGCGATTAACGCTCGCGCGTCTCCGCGCCGCGAAGATAAGCGTCGCGGGGCGCATAAAGCGGCGGATTTATGCACGGGCGCGGGCTAATTGATGTAAACGTATTAGCTCCTCCGCCGCGAGTCCGCTGTAATGGCCGTATCACACTGGCGACTCGCGGCTGCGATTGCGATTCCTTCTTGGCCGATCTGAAGAAAGATCGCAGTCGCTGATCGCTGCTTTCCGATTGGCCAAGAAGGAATCGCAATCGCAGTCGCAATCGCAGTCGCAGCCGCGAATCGCTAGTGTGATACGGGCCTTAAAGAGGATTGGGTATATACGCTGCGAAGATCGCGCCCGTTGCTAAACGCTAAATTCCACCGTTTTCATCGATCACTTTTCACGATGGGAGGGGGGGGGGAGCGGGAAAGGAGCGTGTCCACTATCCTGTCTCTTTTAATACAGTCAGTCGCTTATGTTGTAACGAATGAGAATTTAATTTATCTACAAATATTGCCGCACGGAGGATAACTTCGGCGAATATATCTTCGAGTATTTTCAAATGTCGAGTGTTGATCTGTACGTAACTGTAGGATAAACACGGAATATTAATGGGGATGTGATTAATTCCTGTCCTCTCGCCGAGATGATTAATTATCGGTTTATTAGATATTCACAGAAGAGATTGAGACGCGGGATGATTTCCAGGATGCCGTTCGGATACACGCAGACCTCCGCCGCATATGTTTAAAATATGTTTTACGAAAGTTATCATTTATGCTAATCTTTTACGACACCCAAAGGGTGCTATAACCCAAAAATTAGTAAAATAAAGCTGCCCTAATTCTTCGCGGAGAGGTACGTTGGTTGCTATTTTGCGAAAATCCGTAGAAAAAAATTTGGCTGTAAACAACTCTTAGTGTCATAAAAATTTTACCGTAGCAGTTTACCACTATATTTCTAGGATTTTGGTAAAAATAAGGATTTGCTCGAGTGTAACACATCTAAAACAATAACGTAAAATATAACTATAATAACTATTGTATATAACTATCATTTATATATATATATATATATATATATATATATATATATAAAACAGTTATATAATAGTTATATTACACTAATTAAATAATTACACAAATATATATAATTATTTAATATATAATTAGTGTAATAGAATTAATATAAATACATTACAGTACATTCGTTTATCGCAAATGAGTGTTTTCGAACAGCGCACCGACGACAGTTTGCGCCGCTAAAATACCAGTTTGACGGACCATGAACGAGTCTATGTAAACTTCGCGTAATGCAAATAACGGACACATTTAATTTATGAAAAGCTCGCAGCCGCGTCTGCGAGTATAATAGTAGAGAAAAATTAAGGCCACGCGAGAATCCCCCGAGGCGCATTTCTCGGGAAAATCTGTCTGTGTAAAATTGCGATACCGAAAAGTTCGCGCGCGGCTATTCGGCTTAAGACCTTTGTTCGCTGTTTCATTGTTATTATTTGTTTTTATTGGCGATCGCTTTCCCGCGAGACTGACGGCCAGAGATTGGAGCTATTGAAACTTTTTTTTATCAGAGAGCGCGGTGTCTCTTCGTTCTCGCTGCGCCGCTTCCGCCGTAGTTCGAGAGCGACTCGAGAGAGAGAAGGAGCATTGCGATGCATTTTCACTTTTCATTATGCGCTCATTCGAAGCGCGTCGATGTGAAAAACTAATTTTATCTTCGAGGGTCGAAGTAATTCAAGCCACCTCCGCTCATACCCGATCAGATCGTCGTTCGACAGATCTGTCGTTTGAATGGAATTTAATTTCTTTTCTGCAGTTTCAGTTACTTCCGCCTTCGAGGCTTGCATTTTCACCGCGAAATTTTTCACGCCGATTGAATAAATTTACCTTGGCATCGTTTCTTTCTCTTTTTCAGACAGCGAGCGACGAACTGTTTGGGCTACGTGACCAAACTGGCTGGCGCGACACAATGTAGGTGCGCGGCATAACGTCTCTCTCCTCTCCCTCCGCCCACTCTCGAAACGAATAAAAATAACCGTATACAACATCTTCGAAGGGCAATATGTTGGTAGTACGATGAGATTTCGAGGAAAAGAATCTCGCGCGCCAGACGCATAAACGTTCTGTCTCGAAAGCAGCAATAAATTCTAAAAGTTTCGTACTTTCTGTGTCATAAAGTGGTTTTGCCATCAGTATATTAAAGTGATTGTCACTCTAATTTGAGTGAATGCGGACGCTCATACAAAGATCAACTAATAAAATGACCACAGTGAAATTTCCCACTCGAAATTATAGAGAAGTAGGGATTATCGTATACATAGTTTTATACATCGTGCAAATAATGTTTTAATTTCATTGTACCTTTTACGTTGTAATGTTTTATTAATTGTACTTTATTGTAATCGTATTACATTCGTTACTTTTAACCGCGTAAAAATGAACTACTAGTGTCGTGAAAAAACTACTGAAATGTAGTAGTGGCACT